TCACGTCAGAGGTCAACATGAATGCATTATCGTATTTATAACAAGCCAATCAAAACGCGACATAACTCTTTCTTTCAACCAATCAGAAAGCAGGACCTGTAGCATTTAATGCAGACACCTCGTAGCCCAAAATCCACTTTTTCGTCTGGTCCAGTGATAGTTTGAATATTGCGAAGCCTGTCATTGGTTAATTTTAGTTTCAGGTTGTTAAACTTTTTAACCAGAAGAGGAAGTCTCTCTTATTTCAAAGCAAAATCCACAAATTGTACAAACGTTGTCTTGTAGATAGACACGGCGTGGTGTCATGGGCGCCGCCATTTTCGATGCTCATTTGACACCTCTCGGTCTTTTATCATAGCAAGTGTGTTCCGAAATCATTACATCATCACTTACAGAAATGCGTAAGCTCTCATCTGATTGGTTAATGCAAAGGTCGCCTGAACATGACCCTCTACGGGATGTTGTTAGATCTTCAACGCGACATATCAGTAAACGGGAGCGATGTGAAGATATAATTTTAATTAGATTGACGCTTTGTGTAAGATTAAACAACTTTCTGTAGTTCTTAAACGATCTTCTATTTTGTCACGAAAGGTACATCGTCATGGAGAAACAATTACTTGAGAGATAATTATCGTAAAAAATCATTCTTATGAACTTCATAAGATGTCTTTTATGATTTATGTTTGAAACTGTTAATTTATCTAATGAGCTTGGAAGATGTCACATTTATTTGCTTTTTTATAAGATATCTGGATTTGTATTAAACATCTTTTAATCAACGGCAATCGGGCATTTTTTTTTTTTTTCCTTAAGAAATACCTTATTTAAATTGCAAAAAAAATCCTAGTTCCAAACAGTTGGATAAATTTGCTACTCAAATTCTTAATATCATTGTGTAGATAGTAACACCAGTTAAATTATACCAACAATACCGAATGGATCGAATGTTGTTGTTTTTGAGTCCGGTAAAATTACGAGGCTCTCGTCTGATCTATTTAAAGTTTGGTAATTCGTAATTTTGTATTGATCGTAAACTGATACAGTTTATAGATACAACCTTTGCATTGAACTTAATTACAACAAATATTTCCAGGGCCATTCCATTAATACAACATTTAATTATCTACTTGATAATTTGCTCGTAATATGTTAGCTTGATGGACAAATTTTCCTACATTACATAATTTTTTCGTATTTACAGATGATAGAAATATAACTAATTTAAAGACGGAGGGATTTATTCGATAATAGGGCTTAATATATTTGGTTCTCAAATCATTGTACAAGGGCATTTTAACATGAAATGGTATTCGTCCTCGATGTCATTTAGACACACAGGGCAAGTTCGAAGCTGACGTGGAACCTTTCTGTGTCTGCCTGATTCGATAAGAAGACAATGTGAAGATAAACGTTATCTAACAATAGCTTTTTTATGATTAGCAGAAACTGGTTTTGAAAGATAAGTTTGCAATACTAAGTGATCTATAACATGCCTGTATAAAACACATTTGGCGACGAAACGAAAAAAATATCGCACTCTTGATTGAAATTGTCTAACAAATGTTGTTTTACAATATATATACAATTGTTTACATTTATTATATGTTGGGAAAACCAAATGTCCATCATACCTAATGAGCAGAGCTCGTGTTTGACTTTCGCAACCCAGTTTTTACAATTTGGATTAGCTTCAAATTCGTTGTACATATACTCGTAACATCATTTTAAAATACAATTGTTAGTAGAGGTTAACTTACACCAGTATTTAAATATTTTTAATTTGCGTAAGATGGACAATGGGAACTACCCCAGTTCAAAGTATACCATAGCATTTGGTGTCGATCGTTTAACTCCAAGATTTTTTTTACAAAAATCTAATTGTACCCTATCAATATCAGGGGCTGTATGGACGCCCCATACTTTACTACTATATCCCGCCACACTTCCTACATATGTGTCAAAGAGACTCAATAATGTGGAAAATTTAAAAACATGCGTGCACAGGCCTTTTTTTCCTACATTGTGATGCTAATTGTTTTTGCGATAAATTAAAGTTACCGTTATAGTTTAACAACAAGCCAAGATAGCAAAAACTACCTACATTCTCGAGCAATGTACCACTAAAATACCATTTTTCATCCTGTGATATTCTACCTGACTTACGGAAAAAAATAACTTTAGTTTTAGGGACATTTACCGTCAGAGACCACTTTTCAGTATAATTTTTAAGTTTGTAAAGTATTGACCGTAAACCATGTATACTTTCGGAAAACAAAACCATGTCATCTGCGTACATTAATAAAAATAGGGACAAGTCTTGTAAGTCAAGCGGCTGTACACCGGCCCGTAAAAATTCAGTTTCACAGTCGTTAACACACATGCTAAACAGAATCGGGGAGATTATCTCCCCTTGGAAGACCCCGGTCTTGTTTTCAAAAAATTCAGATATTTTTCCGCCAACAAGGGTGCTAGATTTAATATGACTATACAATGATTTTATTACCGACATAATTTTACCACGGACGCCAAGCTTAGCTATTTTGTACCATAATTTACATCTGTCAATATTATCGAACGCTTTTTGATAGTCAACAAAGCAACAATACATTTTATTTTATTACTGGTAAACTTGTTAATAATAGAGTGTAACGCAAATATTGCGTCGACCGTTCCCATTCCTGAACGAAAACCAAATTAAGCATCCGATAATATGTTGTTCTCGTCCGCCCATTTACTCAACCTCGTATTAAGGATACTGGTAAATATTTTCAGCATGTTACTTAATAGGCTAATACCTCGATAGTATCCAGGGTCAGTCGTGTCACCCTTTTTAAAAATTTGCACAATTAAAGCCTCTGACAGTACTTTAGAGAAATACCCCACTCTAAACACAGCATTAAACATCTTATGAAAAAGAGGAAGGAATACATGTTTTGCTTCAATAAAAAATTCATTCAGAATCTGGTCCGATCCGTGACTTTTCTCCCTATTTAGTTTCGAAATTGCCGTTTCAATTTCTAGAAGTGAGATATCATATTCTAGTTCATCAAATAATACATCATCATCATAAACAAAGTATTATCACTTTCACTAGCCAAATTCTTAAAGTAAGTGTAAAAGTTATCGAGACTTCGATTTCTTTTTAAAGCTCTTATAAAATCATTTCGGGTTACTAACTCTCAACAAATCCATTATATTACCTTGTGCTTTCAAATATGATCGTTTTAACTTTCGCTCAGTAGACTTTTACATACTCTGACATGAAATAAGTATGTCATGATTTTCTCGAGATGAGGAATAATTAAATCTTTTCAAAGCATTCGTATATCGCCTATACATGTACAACATTTTACACTGGTTAAACCAAGGCTTGTCACATGATATATTGCGTTGACCCCCTTGCCTAGAAGGGGCTGATGTAAACTCTCTATTACATTGCGTAGTTGAATGAAAAGGTAACATAAGGGTTTTCACAGTATTTACAAATGAGGTAAAATACCTCTTAATACCGTTCTCAGTCGATAAATCGTCCTCTTCAACACAAATGTTATTGTAATCGATATTATCAAAAATCGCCCTAATACTATCTTCAGCATTGTCTGGGTTCCAGCGAAAACTTTCATATGTACTATACGTGTGTACATTTGTTGATTCCTGATCACTGTTACTAATAATTAGCTTACAACTGAGTACAAAATGTAGAGGTGCGTGGTCAGAAAAAGTATTGAACCCGCTAGTTACAAATTTAGTGATACACTGAAGAACATCAGGCGTTGTTACTATGTAATCTACTACGCTACAACCCGTAGGACCACAGTAGGTATATCCGATAGCGAAGCCATCGGAATGTCTATTATTTAAGATCCGTAAGCCGGAGTATACACATAATCGTAGCAACTTCAGACCAAAAGATGTACATCAGTTTGGTAAGTAAATATATCAGATAGATTATCAAATATATCCTCACTCACGTTATCCTGATCCAATAAATCATATAAACTCGAACATTAAAATCACCAACTAAAATAGCTTTGCCTTCCAGAGAGCATACAGCTATTTCATTTTTAAGATCATAAAATAAATCTGTGGTAAAGCTTGTTATACGCCGCTCTATCAGGCGGAGTATATGCCGCTCTATCAGGCGGAGTATATAATGAGCAAATAAAGAAATCTCTATCACTTCTTTGATCCATCTCTCACACACAGATAGATGTGTGTCAAGTTTAAGCCACACAAATGTGTCGTCGTGAGACACAGAACAAATGCCAACATATTTCAAGGATTCCTTTATAAATATTGCGATACCCCATCCTTGTTTACTCTTAGCTAGAGAGCGGTTAATATATTTTCATGTAAAATTTGGTAACTGTACATCAATATCTTTGCTTATCCAACACTCATGGAGACAAACGATGTCATGTGTACTAATAAAATTCACAAAACGTTTATCTGACAGTTTACACTAACTGTGTGTGGATCTTCAAATGTATTGGTAGGCTGGTATTTATACCTAAACAAGGGAAAGAAAAGTAGGTCAGCTTGACGAACTTTGATTGAAAACAATAGTAGGTCTGTTCCTTCTGACGCTTCTTTGGAAAATAAAAAAATATATTTTCATTGAGGAGATATTGAATCTGTATATAGCATTATTTATGTCATTAAGTTAGAATAAGTTGTGCGTTATTTATCTACATTGTAATGTCTGACAATAGGTTGTAGCATTAACAGCTTTATTTAGTACAATTTTGTTTGTCAAACATTCTGTTCATCTTCTATTTCAATAGATGTCCGATACAGGATTATGTAATCCATGGATACCTTATGAAAATATCACCCTGTCAATATGTTATAATGGAATGCCTTGTGGCCACAAATCTTGAAGCTATCATACAATACAAAACTTCGGACTTGCGAACTTGGTACAAGTTGTGCCCCATATTCGTTACACCATTCACTTCAAATTGAAGAATTTCATTACGTTTCCAATTTATTTTCAGGGGATGATAAAGCTTTTAAATCAACAACGGCAGGTAGCCATGAAAAGATTATTCAGACAAAGGTAATTAACCTCACAAGTATGTATACATACTGCTAACTGTTTGTATTGTTTTCTATGTCAGTAGGTTCTAGAACAGCTTTAAATTTAAATTCTCTTCACATAATGTTATTTTGTGATGCATGAAGGTGATTTCTTGTTACATATTAATGTATCTTAGTGAACAATAAATCGGGAACGAAACGACACACCTGGAGTTAGCATTGGAAGCGTGTCCAGGAAACATAGACTACTTATAACTGCTAGAGGGTATTTACTGTAGCTCCTTGATCAGAGTCGCTTAGTATGGCCATTTAGTGGTGTTACAAATCAAACTCTCGTAAATCCTTGATAAACAGTATCTGCTCTCAGAGAATCAATACTGGAGAAAGATAAGTTAAAATTCAAGCTGGTTTGTGTTCATGTTTATATTGAATCCGCCCCTATCTGGTAGCAGTGGCGGATTCAGAGACCTAATCTTGGG